TATATATATATTGTTGTTCTACTAGAGACTGCTTTGTTATTTAAGTAAATACCATAATCAGTGGATATATATTTTATTGTTATACTAGAGACTGCTGAAGCACAGTAAACCAGGTCAGGTGTATGTAGTTGTTTGCGATGTGGTCAGTACGGGGATTCCCTACAGCGACACATTCTCTGTAAAATCTCACTACTGTTTATCAAAAGTTGCCAGCAATCAGTGCAGACTTTGTGTCCATGGCAACATTCAATACAAGAAGTCTGTCTGGGGACTTGTGAAATGTAAGAAACACCATATCATTGTGTGTAACATAAGGAATTGCACTGAATAAAGTTATCACAGAAAACACACATGCTTCAGAATGAGAATAACATTATACCCAGAAATACACTTTGATCAGACATTTGAGAAGTATAATCTGGAAAATATATCATTCATGACATTATACTGGGTTTATTCTTCTATTTAACACTTCATTAAAGTAATACACCCATTATGATAGTTATCTTAGTTATGTCTTCACCAATGTCACACAACCATTATCATAGTTATGTCTTCACCAATGTCACACAACCATTATCACAGTTGTCTTCATCAATGTCATACAACCATTATCATAGTTATCTTCATCAATGTCATACAACCATTATCATAGTTATGTCTTCATGAAAGTCATACAACCATTATCATAGTTATCTTCATTAAAGTCATACAACCATTATCATAATTGATGTTAGTTATGTCTTCATTAAAGTCATACAACCATTATCACAGTTATCTTAGTTATGTCTTCATCAAAGTCAAACAACCATTATCACAGTTATCTTAGTTGTCTTCATTAAAGTCATACAACCATTATCACAGTTATCTTAATTATGTCTTCATCAAAGTCATACAACCATTATAACAATTGATTTTAGTTATATCTAGAAAAAATGCTTTATTTGATAAAGGAAAATAAAAGTAACATTTAAGGTTCTGACAATTACTTTAACTTTAGTATGTTTTTATGTCTTAAAATATCTAATATTAGGAACTTTTTTTGCAGCTCTTATAGAAAAAAGTGCTATTCAAGGACTACAGGATTTCTGTGCTGACTTAGGTAGGTAATATAATATGTTTCTCATTATTGAACATCCCTTCACAGCTTTCGAACTGGGAGAACCTGAGTATGCCTTTCCAAGATCAGGGCTTCTCTAATAAGTTTTTATGGAGTGAAGCTACCAAATTCATGAGACTTTTTCTTGAAGACAACTTAGTAATTTTATTATCTTTTAATTCTCTCTACCGACCACGTCACCACTTTGTACCAGTTTAAAGTCATTATAGTTTTAATACTACTAACTTTTAATATAGTATGTATATTTTCACAAAATTTGGCAGATTTTCAATAAATCAGATATTTTAATGAAGTATGTTTGATAAAGATTTGTACATGAATATATCAAGTCTTTTTTTGACTAGTCCGAGTGCAAGGTGATTTTCACGTTAAGATTAAAAATGCTTTTCTTCATCTCAAAAATCTTTGCGTAATTTATATAACCTCGTAAATACATTTCAAACATTTGTTTTCAGTAAAACTTTATATTTTATTTGTTATTTTCTCTACTCGAACTCTCTACAAGGTTGGTCAATTTGACCGATCTTGTAACCACCCAAAAATATTAAAATAAATCTAAATTACCATTTTTTTCTTTCTAGAATGACTTCAGATTATAACATAAAACTACATTCGTTTATTCTAAGTAGCTTTAAACTTGTAACAGTGTACATTTATTTATACTTACATTTTATTGTTTTTTGATTGCCCTTTGAACTGTTATTCACAACATTATATGTTGTAAATCACTTGGGGAACATGTTGCTCACATTACGCTATCGAATTACATTACCCACAAGCCACTCAGAGCTGCTCGCATGCATGCCTCTTGAAACATTTTTATTATATTATTATTATTTATCTTACCTAATATAACTTTAACTAACCCAAAGAGATTCCTATTTTTACATTTTAGTTACTTTTATAATAATAAAGAATATAAATCAAAAACAGGGAATAAAGTACTTACCTGGGTCGTCTTTTTTTTTTCTGTCAACTGTCGATGACACTTAAACCTACTTTTTTATACTAATGGTGGTAATGCACTAAATAATATTTATTTATTTAATTAAATAATGCACCAAAAAACACAGAATAGTGATATCCAAAAATTAGACAATTTCTCATAACTATCACAATTTTTCTGGCTTTCTAACTATATAACAAGAATCGTTACAAATTCATCCAAGCTAGTTGTTATCTTTCCCACAGGAACAAAGCTTATACTAACAGAGAAATTGACAGTTATCTGTTCAGAAAACAAGGTAATATAATACGTCATTTGATAGATGAAAACCCTGGCTTTCTATTGGTTATATATGTATATAGTATTAAGCGTAAGAGAAAACTTGTTAAACACGTGTATATATGTGTGTGTGTGTATTAATATTTTTTCTTATGTGTGTGTATATATATGTGTGTGTGTATTTAAATTTTGCTGTATGTGTGTGTATATGAAAATCTGAATCAATTTGGTTGACTGATATAATTTTTTAATTTCAAAGGTCAACATTCTGGTTGTTAAATTTATGTCTTCTCATGGAGCATTTTTTTTCTCAGCACTATTGGAATTATTAAATGTTATTGATCAAACATTTTGTTACTGATTTCTTGATATTTCCACTACAACAGAGGTCGCTCTCAACAAAGAAGCCGACTTGATGGATCAGCAAACAAAGAAGAAACGGCAACGTCGCAAGCGAGGCAAGATTGTGGACTTTTCCAAAGTAGATTCTCTTAGCAGATTACAAACTCAGACCTATATCAAGAAATTATGTAAGTATTAAAACAGATTATGTAGATTATTATATAACCAGACCTATCTCAGGAAGTTACGTAACCATTAGAACAGATTATCTAGATCATTACATAACCAGACCTATCTCAAGAAGTTATGTAACCATTAGAACAGATTATCAAGATCGTTACATAACCAGACCTATCTCAAGAAGTTATGTAACCATTAGAACAGATTATCAAGATCATTACATAACCAGACCTATCTCAAGAAGTTACGTAACCATTAAAACAGATTATTTAGATTGTTTCACATCCATACTTATCTCAAGAAGTTACGTAACCATTAGAACAGATTATCTAGTTCATCACACATCCAGACCTATCTCAAGAAGTTACGTAACCATTAAAACAGATTATTTAGATTGTTTCACATCCATACTTATCTCAAGAAGTTACGTAACCATTAGAACAGATTATCTAGATTGTTACACACTTACAAGTTTGTTAGGAAATTATGTAAACATTAGATGATCAAAAATTGAAATAAGTTATACTGTAACATTTTTTTTCTTGTCCGTGTTAGTAATTAGAATGGAGAAACACAAGAAATAACATAGTATATTTTTAATAAATGCACCAGTTGTAATAGGAAGCTTTAAGTAGCTAAAATATATTCGATCAAAATATCCTCGAATGAAATTGGAAAGTAAAACGAGATTTAGAAAAACTGAACTTTCTTGTAAGTATTATTTATCCATAAAAGTGTAGCTTGTGTTGAAGAGTTATTGATTTTATTTTTGTGTATGTCCGTACACATATCAATGTTAGTTAGGCATTTTTCTTTTCCAGCTTCTTACTTACCAGGATTAGAAAGTGAAACTTTTAGGCCTTCTTCGGATCTTATCACTAAAGTTATTCTGACCACGTAAGTTATTTTACATTGCCAAGGAATGATTCATTTTTGGAACATGACGTAATTTTGTGGATCAGTGTAACCTTATTAGTTTGTATACTAGATTTCTGTCTAGGCTACTTCTAAAAATCTTGTTTCTAAGTTATTTATAATCTTTACTTAACATCATATTTCTGTTTGGGGGGTTATGTATATATATATA